TAGCTGCACCAGCTTGCTGGAAAGATTTTGGCCCAAGAGCTGTTTGCAAATGCTCTATCCAGTTGGCAAAATACCAGATGGGTATGGCGTGTGCCTCTCCAAGATAGCATATTTCCCGTGTGTGGAAGGTTGAAGAGGTCATATTCCGAGAAGAAGGCTCCGAAGCCGCAGAAACTCCCTTCAGCTCGAGCAGGTCCTCCCAGCTTTTCGGAGTTATCTAATATGTCGTTAAAATCGCCGGTGAGGTACCAGGGCTTGTCTCTGCTTTTGGCCAGATTTATTAGGTTAGACCAGATTTCTTGGCGTTTTGATGTGTCGGATTCACCGAAGATGAAAGTAGATAGGAACTTTTTATTTTTATAGAAGATCTCTGAATCTATAAAATTATTACAGGAGGAGATCACACGCAGACCTATGTCTTGTTTCCACAACAGGGCTAAGCCTCCACCCCCGGTGCCATGAGGTGAGACTAAGTGATGGGATTCAAACCCCAGATCATTTAGTTTCTTTAGGACAAAGTCATTTGGATTTTTCGTCTCCATGAGGAAGATTATGTCCGGCTTCGTCGACTTGTGAAGCTCTCGCAGACGACGAACTGTTGCGGGATTTCCCAAACCGCAATAGTTCCAGCTCAGTATCTTTAATGAAGCCGAGGAAGCGGATCCCAAAAATCTGCATCCTTATTTGGTGAGGAAGTATTGGGTACTCGACTGGAGGAGTCTCACGATGCTTCCGGTTGTGAAAACTCCCTTCGAGTGTTGTTGTGTATTGTGGATCCGGAGGTGATCTTGGTTGATCCGGTTGAGTTTGTGCAGTCTGTCTAGATGAAGAGGGACCACTTCTAGGTGGTAATGGTGGAGCTCTTTGAATGGAGGGTGGGAGGATTCGTCCCCTTCTGGGTGGTAGATTAGACCCTGAAGTTGCGGTCGACAGGTGCCCAGTCAAGGTCTGTTTTGGTGTTTTTGTACAAGGTGAACAGTGGACTTGTTGAGTTTTTAGTTTCCTTGATGCTGCTCCCATACGGTTGAGGGGGCTACTTATTGCTTTTGCTGGTCTGCCTCTTTTCTTTTTAACCGCAGGGGCGGTAGACGCTGACTCGGTCGCGATGGGGGCAGTGGGATATTGATTACGTGGTAAGAGGTTTGAGGTTGAGAGTGATGCAGATACTGCCTTAGTAGGTCGCGCTTCAGATAGAGTCTGAGTCGTTTGTTCTTCAGCTGCATAGATTGCTGCTGCTGTTTTCGCCATCAACCCGTGCTATTCTCCCTGGAGTACCCGTTGACGTCTTGCTTCGCTTTCCGTGGGATCGCCGCAGTTCACATATTGGATCGTAACTTCTTGGAGCTCCTCCAGTATTTCTGCTTTAGTGCGTAGAGGAGATGGGGTAGCTGGGATGTCTTCTCGAGCTAGGTTTCTTTCCAGCTGGCTTAGTCGATTGGGGGGATTCCACTCGCTGAGGTAGGCTTTGAATCTCAGAGTTAGGGTTCGTCTTCCCTTTTTCTCTCCACTGTTGCTCTCTGTGATTGGTTCTTTCTCTTTGATGTTCTCAAGTTTCGTTGAGCTTCTGGTATTGGTTCTTGAGAGATTCACACGGACTATCAGCCGTTCGGTGTGAGTACGAGTCCGAAGTTTCCTTTCTTGATAAGGAGCGGTGGTAGTCTTTCCTGGGATCATACTCTCTGTGAGAAGAGGAATGAGATCTCTCTCTTCCTAGTGTTCGCTGAGAAGGTCTTGTTCCGAAGGGTCTGCCGTGTCTGTCCCTTCGTTCAGTGAAAGGTTTCCTTCCTGACTCATTCGGTGTGATTTTGTAGGAGCTGTAATGAGGTGCTTCACTTGCAGGTGCTGTAGGTGGGAGAGTCCTCTTTCTTTCCGGACATTAGCTTTTGTCGTGGGTGAGTTTGAAGCACAACTTGCAGTGGGATGCCAGGTTCTCATACTCCAGGGTGACAATAGCTTCAGTTCCGTTTGGAAATTCGATGACAGTCTCTTTGATGAGGGGCTTCAGAGCTTCAATGGTTGCCTTGATTCGGGCTGTTAGCTTTGTAAGTTTGCAGCTTTCATATTCCCCAATCGCTTCTCCTATATCGATTAACATCTTTTCTTTCCAGTAGTGTAGGGGAACTCCTTTGAGAGAGATCCAGAAGGAGATTTTGCAGGGGAAGTCAGAGGAGATGATGGGTTCCCATTTTGGACCCTGAACATCCAACCAGCAAAGTGGTATGGCCAGTTTTCGAGAACCCTTTGGAGGTCTTCTTCAGATTCAAAGCGGAACTGAAAGCAACCTCGGCCCAAGTCAGATCCCGTAGCTTGGCGTTTCTCCATTTGTTCGATAGTACCGGAATCATGGTTCGGAGTCGTTGTTCTTCCGGGTTAGTAAGACGCCTTAACAAAGTGAGAGCGTTCTCTCGGATCAGATCAGAAGTGTCTATGTCAGGAGCCCTGATTCTCTTCCTTGGTGGGAGTTCCGGTGAGAGGTCGATGGCCTTCCCTTTTTCAGCATAAGTGAGACGGCGAGCCATTGAATGTGGTGCAGATGTAGGTGAACGAAGATTGAGTTTGGTAGACGTTTGGCTTGTGATGTTGATGTTGCACTGGAGATGAGTAGACAGAACGTAGGGAGCAGGGGTGTTTACCAGCTTGACGAGGGATCCTCCGTCCCGAAGGTGGGGGCTGAACCAGGCGAAGATTGACCAAGAAGTGTCGGCTTAGTGAGGAAGCTTACTATTTTGGGAAAATAATTAGGGTATTATAGTTTGGAAGTAGATCTCAAAACAAAAGGAGTAATTTTGGAAGACGTGCCTGAGAGTGAAAAAAGTTGGCATTTATTCCTTAAATAAATATATATATATTCATAAAGCTTTGTTATAAATAAAAATTGATGATATAACCAATCGTCCACAGAATTATATTCTTTAGAATATACATAAAGAATATACATAATATAATATGACAATATCATAATTAAATTTCCATTTTTTCAGCATATATAAATATTTAAATTTATGATCGATATTATCAATTGCTTTATATGTAATAGTTAACCATATATTCTAACATCACAACTATAAAATTTCAAAGCTTTGAAAGGATATAATGGCATCAAATTTTAATGATTTTATATACTGATATATTCATAAATTGCATCATTTAGTGTACATATTTTAGTCCAAATCATGTTTTATCTCATGCATTTTAGGTCTTTATGCATTGTTTTAGGACTTAGAAAAATGCATTAGGTTCAAGAGAGTTTTGCATGGTTTGGAGTGTTAAACAGGTGTTTTTGGAGCCAATTTGGAGTGGAGGATGTGATTCAGATGAAGAAATGGAGTTGGAATGATCAAAAATGGTGAAAAGGAGCAATTTTGGGTTTCTCGGCAAAATGGTGTACTGAAGGTCGAAGGTTCTCGGCCAAAATCCTTCTCGCGGGTAAAACTCTCGGCCAAAAACACGTGCCGCGGTTAAGTTTCTCAGCCAAAAATCTCGAGTACAGATACATCTCGGAAATCACGTTACCGGAAGGTCTTGCCGTCAGATTCAGCGGTCGGAGTCTTCATAAAAGTTGGAGATAATTGAGTCAAGAGTTCAGAACAGTTAGAATCAAGGCATTTGGACTACGGAGCTGAAAGATAGAGTAATTGGAAGACAGACCTCTCTCGCATCCATTCCGGAGCAATCCGATACTCCTGAATGATTGCCTGTCCGGGGAACCTTCCAGTCCGATACAGTTGTCGCGGGCTTCATCAAAGTTGGAGAAGATTGGATCATGGTGCCATAGCAAGTGGAATAATGGAATTCGGACTTGTGAGCAGAAAGTTGAGCTCATCGGAAGAAACCCCTGTCTCGCTGCCGTCTTGCACCGACCCGATGAGCTCCGAAGAATGCGAAGGACGGCGCACTTCCAGGCCGATTCGGTTTGCAAGGCCTTCATGAGAATCCGAGATATTTGAGTCCTCTTTCTAGAACGTCCAAGATCATTAAATTCGGATATATGAGCAAGAAGTTAACGTTTCCGGAATGGACACAAGTCTAGACGCCTTTCTCTGTTCGTGTAAATGCACTGCGAAGATGAGCCCTCCAGGAAGCCTTCCACTTCCCTTCGCCAAGTCTCATGTATGTTCTTCAAGTGTTCATCAAAGTTTCAACCCAGCACATGACCCCATGGTGTATGGCCCTCGGTGTGAGACTTCTTCAGATGGCGAGTGTTGATTGTGGTTCTCAACTATTCAAGGGTCGGTTCGGTAATTTGAGTTCGGAGAAGATTAAGTTGATTAAATTTTATTAAGTTCTCAATTACAGTTCGTTCAGTTCGGAGGTCTCTCGACGAACTCGATAAAATATTCAGGTCTCTATTCTCCGGGTCCGAAAAGATCCCTTCTACAGTAACAATTCTACTATTTATAGTACATAAGCGAGGAAATGTTCTAGGGCTTCTCGTTCAGCTCTCACCGCCTCTTGTTGCTGGGCTTCTTTCTCATGGGTCGCGCTGTCAGGTCAGGCCCATTTCGGCTAAGACCATCGTAAACTGGGGTCGATTGGGCCGGTCTCGGTCTTTAACCGGTCCGAACCGGGGAGCGGAGCGTACCACCAACAGTATGTCCCCCCCCCAGTTCGGGAAATGGACCTGACTGACTTTTGCCGAATTGGAGCTGGATCGGTATATAGACCGAGGTCGGTGGTGTCGAGTTCTCGACTTACACCCTTCTTCATTTCTCTGGTGTCTTGGCAAGGATATTTTAAGTATTTTCACTCGCGGGGAACTGAAAAGACGCGTCGGTTTAGGCGGGAAATCGGGACGTTACGAAGCGCGGAAGTCGAGAAGTCGCAATGATTCACTCTTCTTCTATAAATAGGGTTCAACTCTCCCCATTTCTCACTTTCGCTCCTACTGCCAAGGTATTTGCTCTCCCTTCTCTCTAAATTTTCTTCTTTCTCTCTCTAGAATTCCGGTCGCCGTCCGCCGTGCTCTCTCGTCGACGGTTGTTCTCTTGAGTTCTCTGACGATGTCTTCCGACTCTTCTTCCAATTCCGAGGTCGCCATTCTTCCCGAACACCGTAGGGAGGAAACTTCTACTGACATCTCGAGCTCGGGATCTACAGAACATTCTTCGAACGCTTCCCTAGTTCGCAAGAATTCCCGTGTCGTCGAGGTCAGCTCTGGTAGCCGAGTTCCAATTCGGGCTCCAGAGCAGATGGATCGAGATCTCCGCGAGCCCGAAGGCCAAGTTCCTACCGACCTGGTCCAGGGGCGGGAACCTGATGTGAAGACAGATGAGGACGCTCCATTGCACGAGGTCGGGGAAGGAGGAACGCAGGATCCAGACGACGATGATATGATGTTGATCGTGGATCGGCCATGTGTATGTGCCCCGGTGAAGTCTACCTTGTCATCTCCGGAGACGGTTCGGGCTGCTATGATGATCGGCGGAGCCCCTCCTGGAATCATTATTCAAGTTCCTGAACCGGAAAAGCGCCCTTGGGATGCACCCGAGGGTTTCATCTATGTCTACGAGGCCTATTTCCGCGAGGCCGGATTGACTTTCCCTTTGCCCCGCTTGTTGTTCGCCTACTGCAATCGTCGTGGCTGCGCGATATCGCAACTTCAGCCGGCGTCGATCGTAAACTTTGTTGGGATTCTCCAGCTCGGGCGTGACGTCCGGGCTCACATCAACATGGCCCAATTCGAGGAGCTCTTTATTATGAAGGTCTCGTCGGCCAAAAGCTGGTTTCTGTCGGTGAATTGCAACCCGAAGTTCGACCTGGTCACAGGGAACAAGGCTAGCAAATTTCCGAACTGGGATCAGAGTTACTTCTTTGTTCGCGTTGACTCGTCATCTGCTGAGAATCCGGAGAGCACGTTCCGGACTGGCTGGAGTGTCGATTTCGGTACATATCTCATGGTTGACTCTCCTGTTCCTTGGTCGATACTGATAAAAATTCTTTGCTTATGCAGATCGTCACGTTCCAGGATTCATTCAACGCTCCCTCCCGTCCGACCTTGCGAAGCAATTAAGTCTCCCCGGACAGCGCCGTTGGCCCCTTGCCTATCGGGAGAAGATCGACCGCCGGATAAAGAGAGCTCAGGATAGAGGTATGAATTCTCAGGTCGTCTTGAATTTGTTGTCACTTAGTTTTTTTTTATTATGGTTGACACACTTGTCTTTTTTTTGTAGCCAAAACTAAGGCGGAACCCAGCTCGTCGAGGCCGGTACCGAAGAAGAAGAAAACGAGGAAAATCAGCCAGTCAAGTCGGAGAAGGATGGCATTCGACAGATTTGACATTCCAATGATGGACTTTGGGGCTGACGAGGAAGAAGATAATGCCCTGATCGATATTGTCGGTCTCGACGGGAATGAGGCCGGTGATGGCGTTGAAGCCGCTATCGGGGACGAAGTCGACAATGTCCCGGTCGGCCTGGTTAACCCTCTGATCCCGGTTGCGGAACCGGAGGGCAACGTGGCGGGAACTATTGTTCTTGAGGCGACTCCTCAGCCTCAAATGGAGGAAGGGGAAATTGGTGAGCAGGATGAGGACGAGCTCACCATTGTCGACCGTGCCCAAAGGAAGAATGGCAAGTCCTCGAAGAAATCGTCTCGGAAGAGGGGTGGTGATCCCGAGACGGCTGTGAGCGAGGGGACTCTGGTTCTTCGCGAGTCGCCTAATGCTTCTCAGATTCCCCCAGCGGATCCGGCAGCTGAGACCGGAAACCCGAGGTCGTCCAAGAGGCGTCGGACCTCTGACTCGTCCTCTTTTTCAGTCCGGCTTCAGTACAACAAAGACCGGTCCTTTTTCGATGACTCGACTGCCTGCGCTGAGCTCTTCAGGCAGATCGTGCCGGCCTCGTCTCCGATGCCTGAGACAAAGGACCTCTTCTGCCCCAAGTCTTATGCTCGGGTCGCGAAATCTGCCTCTGTTGTAAGCTTCTCTCTATCTTGAATACTTAGATATTTCTTAATCTTGGAATGTCTGATTTCGATTTCCATTTTCAGCTCGTCTGTGATACCAATGAGCTTGTTCGCGAGTACGACTCCGAGGTCGAGAGGCTGAGAAAAATTAACGCCGAGGTTGCTGCTGAGAGGGCGTCTTTGGAAGCATCGTACCGGGACGAAAAAGAAAGGTACGAGGCTGCTGTGCTAGCCTTCACCGAAAAGGAGAAGGAGAACGCTGCCTTGAAGGAGCAGGTCGGGGCTCAGGAGAAGCGGACTGCCGAACTGGAGGGAGACATGGATGCTCTGTCCAAGTCGTTCAAGACGAGCGAACTGGAAAGGCGGAGGTACCGAGACACCGAGTCCAAGGGCAGAAAGATGCTGGCCGTGCTTAGGGGCAAGTGCGAGGGGAAGCTTGCCAAGATGAAGGACTTCATGGACAAGTCCGAGCTCAGAAAGGCGCCGTTCCTCAAGCTTAACCAGGCGACTGCTCTGGTCGGCTTCTGCGACTTTCTAAGGAGGGAACACAATATGATCGTCCCGTCGCACATCGTGGAGACGTACGCGCGTAGGGTCAAGAATTGCACGAAGGAGGTCGATGATATCCCCCTTCTGCGGTTTGAGAACGAAGACTTCCTCCTCCCGAGTGACGACGATCTCATTCCCAGGATTGTGCTTCCGCCGGGACGCAGGTTCCGGAGGGTTTGGACCAGTTCGGCTCGAACTCTAGGTCCATCTCGGCTGATCGGGCTGCGAGTCTCAAGAGTCCGGCGTCCGTCGCTCGCCAATGATTCTCTTAGTTTTCCTTAGTTTTATTTTGTTGTTGTAAAGACTATCTTACCCGCATAGCTCGGGTTTTAACTTATCGATTCGTTTTGGTCGCCATTTTTAGGCTTTGTATTTGTTGCCGTCTAGTTCGGCAATTTCGGATATTTAATGAAATGAACATGGTTTTTCTTTATCTCGACTTTTACTTTGAATTTTCCTTTAATATTTTGTTACGAACTGTTTGGAGTTCGGTTTGTTTTGATTAAATTTGGAGTTCGTGATGTTATTGTGACAATGCGGTCGAACTCGGGAAACTCTCCGAACTTGAATCGCAGTCGGCGGATTGCTATTCGGAAGAGTGAGTGCGGATTGGGTTCCGGCTTTGAATAGTGGGCACTATGGGGGTGCGGGCGAGACGGATTTCGGCTTTTGAGATTGTATTCATGGGGAATACTTAGTTGGATCTCCTGGCCGGGGAGTCGGTATGTGGAGTTAGAGATAAGACGAAAAAGATGAATTTTTATTAGATTTGTAGCTGGACTCGGAATCGAGTTGCCTACGTACCCTTTTGCAAGGGATCAAGCCACTCGTAGTTCAGTTTACAGGGGTGAGTTCGGCAGGAGCCGGACTGTTTTTTTTTTTTTTTTTTTTTTTTTTTGAATCGCTGGTGGCGGTAGAATGGATGGTCCGAGCTCGCGGTAGCTGGGACTTAGTAGTAATATCGCTTGAGGTTGTCTGAGTTCCATGATCGCGGGATCGGCGTTCCGTCGAGTTGCATGAGTTCGTAAACTCCGGGCTTGACGATTCTCATTATCTGATAAGGACCTTCCCAGTTCGTTCCCAGCTTGCCGGCGTTTAACTCCTCGGTGTTGTGGAACACCTTGCGCAGAACAAGGTCGCCTTCATCGAAATGCTGACCTCGTACTTTCTTGTTGTAATAGCGAGCAGCGAGCTTTTGATAGTTCTGGATTCGGAGGAGAGCTAAGCATCGCTGTTCTTCCAAGTTATCGAGGTTGTTGAGCACCATCTGGTCGTTGAGGTCGGGGTTCTCGGGGAGCACGGAATATCTTAATGTTGGGATGCTGACTTCTGCCGGACAGAGTGCTTCAAGTCCGTATGCTAAGGAGAAGGGGGATTGTCCGGTCGATCGTCTGGGAGTAGTTCGATGCGACCATAAGACTCCGTCGAGTTCGTCCACCCAAGTGCCTTTCTTAGCCTCAAGACGCTTCTTTATGCCGTCCAGAATGGTTTTGTTGGTTGCTTCGGCTTGACCGTTGCCTTGCGGATATCGCGGGGTCGAGAAACTGAGACGAATTTTGAACTTCGCGCACCAATCATTGAACGTCCCAGCAATGAATTGTGGTCCGTTGTCCGTGATGATCTCGTGCGGGACCCCGTGGCGGCAAATGATATACTTCCAAACAAATTTTTGTACGTCCAGTGCGGTGATCTACGAGTACGCTTCGGCCTCAACCTATTTTGTGAAGTAGTCAGTCATAATCAAGATGTACTGTTTTTGACTTGTTGATCGGCATAAAGGGCCAACGATGTCCATAGCCCACCGCATGAAAGGGTAAGGGGCCGTACTGGTTTGCAGCAGCTCGGTCGGCACGTTTATCATTGGACCATGGCGCTGGCACTTATCGCACTTCATGACAAACTTCTCGCAGTCCGCGTTCATTGTCGGCCAAAAATAGCTGGCTTTTTTTATTTTCAGAGCAAGGGATCGACCTCCCGAGTGATTACCACCGGATCCTTCGTGGATTTCGCGCATGATCTCGACTATATCGTTCCCTGAGACGCAGGCCAAGAGTACTCCGGATGCGCTCCAACAATACAGTTTATCTTTATGCATTGTGTAGTGAGCAGCCCGGACTTTAAGATGACGAGCAGCCCATTTGTCTTCAGGGACTTTGCCATTGAGGAGGTATTCTCGCAGTTCGGCTGTCCAATCTTCGGCGGACTCGTTCCCCTGGTTTTCACTGGTTGATGGGCTATGAATTCCTTCAGTTATGTGCTCGAAGTCGTGATCGGCGGCTGGGTCCTCGAGAGTCTGTTCGGCATTATCCTCAAGAACCTGCTCGGCATTCTTGCGTTGCGTTTTTGACGAGGCCGGATTTTCGTTATAGTTCCGTCGTCGGGTGGCAAAATTGCATTTCAGCGCGGTCTTGATGCTTGGTTCTGGGATACTCTCGACCGGGATTTTTCTCTTCATATGCGGGTCGGAACTGGAAGCTAGGGCGGCTAACGCGTCGGCGGACGAGTTCTCGCCGCGAGGGATTTTGGTGAGTTCAAACGTCTCAAACTGCGAGATGAGTGCCTTAGTCGTTGTTAGGTACGCGTCCATTCGTTCGTTTTTGGTCGTGTATTCCCCGCTTAATTGACTCGCGACGAGCTGCGAGTCGCAGAAAGCGTGAAGATGTCGCACACCGAGCCCTTTAGCCAATCGTAGTCCGGCAAGTAGGGCTTCGTACTCAGATTCATTGTTTGATGCTGGGAATTCAAGGCGGAACGACTGTTTGAGGATCTCGCCGCTTGGAGACTTTAGGCGGATTCCGACACCTGATCCCCGGTGCGATGACGATCCATCGACATGTAGAATCCATAGCTCGGGGGGCTGCTGTTCGACAACGAACTCTTTTGGGAGCTCGATCAGGAAATCGGCGAGTACTTGGGATTTCGCGCTAGTTCGGTTCTTGTATTCTATATCGTACTCGCTTAGCTCGACGGCCCATTTCGCGAGGTGACCTGATTGGCTTGGACTGTGTAGAATGGTTCGGAGCGGCTGGTCGGTTAAGACTGTGATTGAATGGGACTGAAAATATGGCCGAAGTTTCCGAGCAGAAGTCACCACTGCGAGCGCCAACTTTTCTAAAGTCGGGTATCTGGCTTCAGCGTCACTTAGCGATTTGGTGACATAGAATATGGGACGCTGTTCCCCCTATCTTCGCGGACTAGAACACTGCTAACCGCTAAAAGCGGAAATAGCGATATATAAGAACAGCATCTCGCCATTCTCGGGTTTAGCTAGGATGGGGGGAGTCGAGAGATATGTTTTCAGCTGCTTGAAAGCATCTTCGCACTCGGCACTCCAGGTATGATGCTTGTTACCTCGCAACAACTGGTAGAAAGGCAGACACTTATCCGTCGATCTGGAGATAAATCTGTTCAGAGCGGCGATTCGGCCTGTGAGTTTTTGCACTTCCCTTTTTGAAGTCGGGGAAGGTAGGTCTAGAACTGCGGATATCTGCTTTGGGTTAGCCTCGATGCCGCGCTCGGTGACGATGTAACCCAGGAACTCGCCCGCCGTTACGCCGAAGGTGCATTTGGCGGGGTTGAGTTTCATCCCGTACTCGTTCAAAATGTCGAAACACGTTGATAAGTGAGATACGTGGTCCTTAGCATGCAGGGATTTAACCAGCATGTCATCAATGTATACTTCCATCGTTTTTCCGAGCTGACTGGCGAACATGCGGTTCACGAGTCTTTGATACGTGGCTCCCGCGTTCTTGAGACCGAACGGCATGACCTTATAGCAGTAGATTCCTCGATCTGTGATGAACAAAGTCTTTTCCCGATCATCCGGATGCATTAGGATTTGGTTGTACCCCGAGAAGGCATCCATGAAAGATAACAGTTCGTTGCCGGCAGTTGCCTCTACCAACCGATCAATGTGCGGTAGTGGGAAACTATCTTTGGGACAAGCTTTGTTCAGGTCGGTGAAGTCGACGCAGATCCTCCACTTCCCATTCTTTTTCTTCACGACTACCGGGTTCGCTAGCCAGTCCGGGTATCGAACTTCCGTGATCGAAATGGCTTTGAGCAATTTTTCGACCTCATCGTTGACCGCTCGCGCTTTCTAGGGTCCGAGCTTGCGCCTCTTTTGCTTGATATGTTTATATGTAGGATTGATGTTCAGCTCGTGGCAAGTGATGTCTGGACTGATTCCGGGCATGTCGCTGATATTCCATGCGAATGTGGAGACGTTCTTCTGGAGGAAGCTGACGAGTGCTTCCGGAATATTGTTGTCGAGTTCGGCCCCTATGCCGACACATTTTTCTGGATCTGTTGGATCAATGCAGACTTGGTCGACCTGGCTCTGTTTGGGTGGACCGAACTGGCTTACTGCGGCCGTACGATCTTCCTGAAAGGGGCTGATGACGCATGTTCGTGCGAGACTGAGCTTGCACTCGGTGAGATGACATAGTCGGGACGCGGTCTGGCTTCCTTTGAGGGTGAAAATTCCTGACGGGATTGGGAACTTGACGCACTGATGGAACGTTGAAGCGACGGCTTTCATGTCGAACAGCCATGGCGTCCCCAAAATCGCATTGTATATTGCCGGTTTGTTGAGAACCAGGAATTTAATCATTCGGGCTGACCCGCCGACATAAATGGGTATCTTCACCGTTCCTACTGTCCTTGTTTTTTCTCCGGTGAACCCGGTCAATGATTCCATATAAGGCTTGAGCTCGGAATCCAGAAAGTCCATATTCTTGAGTGTTTCCTTGAATATGACGTTTACCGAACTACCCGTGTCGATTAATATCCTGCTTGCTTCAACGTCTCCGAGCTGAAGCTCCACGACGAGGCAATCGTTATGAGGCATATGTACTCCCCGCAGGTCGGCTTCGGTGAATAACAGTGGTACGGTTGTAACCGTTGTCTGGGGTTGCGAACTCGATGCTTGCCGGCTGTACTCTTTGAGGGCTCGAACGGAATAATTGCATGATTCGAATAGAACTGGATTTAGGTCATTTGGAGTTATGAGCTAAAAGTTACACTGAACAGAAGAGAAGCTGGTCAATTCGGGTTTTAAGAGATGCGACTGTAAGCTAAGTGTTGTGTCCTACCTCGGCGTGAATACCTCGGCATGTATGCCGAGGAGGCATGTTTACAAAGTTTTGAGACTATACCTCGAGGTAGGACTTCGGTCTTTCAACACCAAGGCTCCCTTGATCACCAAAATGATCCCAAAACGACTAAGTGTTGAAGCAGACCTTGGTGTGAACCCTTCAGCATGCTATGCCGAGTTCCTATGTTACACAAACCTCGGGTACCAGGCCCCTCGGCATGTATGCCGAGGTCCTTATCTCTCCAACCCAGATTACAAACAAATCCTCTTCACGTTTCAAAGCTTTAACCGGATCAAATGCCAAGTCTCATGTATGTTCTTCAAGTGTTCATCAAAGTTTCCACCCAGCACATGACCCCCTGGTGTATGGCCCTCGGTGTGAGACTTCTTCAGATGGCGTGTGTTGATTGTGGTTCTCAACTATTCAAGGGTCGGTTCGGTAATTCGAGTTCGGAGAAGATTAAGTTGATTAAATTTTATTAAGTTTTCAATTACAGTTCGTTCAGTTCGGAGGTCTCTCGACGAACTCGATAAAATATTCAGGTCTCTATTCTCCGGGTCCGAAAAGATCCCTTCTACAGTAACAATTCTACTATTTATAGTACATAAGCGAGGAGATGTTCTAGGGCTTCTCGTTCAGCTCTCACCGCCTCTTGTTGCTGGGCTTCTTTCTCATGGGCCGCGCTGTCAGGTCAGGCCCATTTCGGCTAAGACCATCGTAAACCGGGGTCGATTGGGCCGGTCTTGGTCTTTAACCGGTCTGAACCGGGGAGCGGAGCATACCACCAACAGTATGTCCCCCCCCCCAGTTCGGCAAATGGACCTGACTGACTTTTGCTGAATTGGAGCTGGATCGGTTATAGACCGAGGTCGGTGGTGTCGAGTTCTCGACTTACACCCTTCTTCATTTCTCTGGTGTCTTGGCAAGGATATTTAAGTATTTTCACTCACGGGGAACTGAAAAGACGCGTCGGTTTAGGCGGGAAATCGGGACGTTACGAGGCGCGGAAGTCAAGAAGTCGCAATGATTCACTTTTCTTCTATAAATAGGGTTCAGCTCTCCCCATTTCTCACTTTCGCTCCTACTGCCAAGGTATTTGCTCTCCCTTCTCTCTAAATTTTCTTCTTTCCCTCTCTAGAATTCCGGTCGCCGTCCGCCGTGCTCTCTCGTCGACGGTTGTTCTCTTGAGTTCTCCGACGATGTCTTCCGACTCTTCTTCCAATTCCGAGGTCGCCATTATTCCCGAACACCGAAGGGAGAAAACTTCTACTGACATCTCGAGCTCGGGATCTACAGAACATTCTTCGAACGCTTCCCTGGTTCGCAAGAATTCCCGTGTCGTCGAGGTCGGCTCTGGTAGCCGAGTTCCAATTCGGGCTCCAGAGCGGATGAATCGAGATCTCCGCGAGCCCGAAGGCCAAGTTCCTACCGACCTGGTCCAGGGGCGGGAACCTAATGTGAAGACAGATGAGGACGCTCCATTGCACGAGGTCGGGGAAGGAGGAGCGCAGGATCCAGACGACGATGATATGATGTTGATCGTGGATCGGCCATGTGTATGTGCCCCGGTGAAGTCTACCTTGTCATCTCCGGAGACGGTTCGGGCTGCTATGCTGATCGGCGGAGCCCCTCCTGGAATCATTATTCAAGTTCCTGAACCGGAAGAGCGCCCTTGGGATGCACCCGAGGGTTTCATCTGTGTCTACGAGGCCTATTTCCGCGAGGCTGGATTGACTTTCTCTTTGCCCCGCTTGTTGTTCGCCTACTGCAATCGTCGTGGCTGCGCGATATCGCAACTTCAGCTGGCTTCGATCGTAAATTTTGTTGGGATTCTCCAGCTCGGGCGTGACGTCCGGGCTCACATCAACATGGCCCAATTCGAGGAGCTCTTTATTATGAAGGTCTCGTCGGCCAAAAGCTGGTTTCTGTCGGTGAATTGCAACCCGAAGTTCGACCTGGTCACAGGGAACAAGGCTAGCAAATTTCCGAACTGGGATCAGAGTTACTTCTTTGTTCGTGTTGACTCGTCATCTGCTGAGAATCCGGAGAGCACGTTCCGGACTGGCTGGAGTGTCGATTTCGGTAAATATCTCATGGTTGAATCTCCTGTTTCTTGGTCGATACTGATAAAAATTCTTTGCTTATGCAGATCGTCACGTTCCAGGATTCATTCAACGCTCCCTCCCGTCCGACCTTGCGAAGCAATTAAGTCTCGCTGGACAGCGCCGTTGGCCCCTTGCCTATCGGGAGAAGATCGACCGCCGGATAAAGAGAGCTCAGGATAGAGGTATGAATTCTCGGGTCGTCTTGAATTTGTTATCACTTAGTTTTTTTTTTATTATGGTTGACACACTTGTCATATTTTTGTAGCCAAAACTAAGGCGGAACCCAGCTCGTCGAGGCCGGTACCGAAGAAGAAGAAAACGAGGAAAATCAGCCAGTCAAGTCGGAGAAGGATGGCATTCGACAGATCTGACATTCCCATGATGGACTTTGGGGCTGACGAGGAAGAAGATAATGCCCTGATCGATATTGTCGGTCTCGACGAGAATGAGGCCAGTGATGGCGTTGAAGCCGCTATCGAGGACAAAGTCGACAATGTCCCGGTCGGCCCGGTTGACCCTCTGATCCCGGTTGCGGAACCGGAGGGCGACGTGGTGGGAACTAGTGTTCCTGAGGCGGCTCCTCAGCCTCAAATGGAGGAAGGGGAAATTGGTGAGCAGGATGAGGATGAGCTCACCATTGCCGACCGTGCCCGGAGGAAGAAGGGCAAGTCCTCGAAGAAATCGTCTCGGAAGAGGGGTGGTGATCCCGAGATGGCTGCGAGCGAGGGGACTCTGGTTCTTCGCGAGTCGCCTAATGCTTCTCAGATTCCCCCAGCGGATCCGGCAGCTGAGACCGGAAACCCGAGGTCGTCCAAGAGGCGTCGACCTCTGACTCGTCCTCTTTTTTCATTCCGGCTTCAGTACAACAAAGACCGGTCCTTTTTCGATGACTCGACTGCCTGCGCTGAGCTCTTCAGGAAGATCGTGCCGGCCTCGTCTCCGATGCCTGAGACAAAGGACCTCTTCCGCCCCAAGTCTTATGCTAGGGTCGCAAAATCTGCCTCTGCTGTAAGCTTCTCTCTATCTTGAATACTTAGATATTTCTTAATCTTGGAATGTCTGATTTCGATTTCCACTTTCAGCTCGTCTGTGATACCAACGAGCTTGTTCGCGAGTACGACTCCGAGGTCGAGAGGCTGAGAAAAATTAACGCCGAGGTTGCTGCTGAGAGGGCGTCTTTGGAAGCGTCGTACTGGGACGAAAAAAAAAGGTACGAGGCTGCTGTGCTAGCCTTCACCGAAAAGGAGAAGGAGAACGGTGCCTTGAAGAAGCAGGTCGGGGCTCTAGAGAAGCGGACTGCCGAACTGGAGGGAGACATGGATGCTCTGTCCAAGTCGTTCAAGACGAGCGAACTGGAGAGGCGGAGGTACCGAGATGCCGAGTCCAAGGGCAGAAAGATGCTGGCCGTGCTTAGGGGCAAGTGCGAGGGGAAGCTTGCCAAGATGAAGGACTTTATGGACAAGTCCGAGCTCAGAAAGGCGCCGTTCCTCAAGCTTAACCAGGCGACTGCTCTGGTCGGCTTCTGCGACTTTCTAAGAAGGGAACACAATATGATCGTCCCGTCGCACATCGTGGAGACGTACGCGCGTAGGGTCAAGAACTGCACGAAGGAGGTCGATGATATCCCCCTTCCGCGGTTTGAGAACGAGGACTTCCTCCTCCCGAGTGACGACGATCTCATTCCCAGGATTGTGCTTCCGCCGGGGACGCAGGTTCCGGAGGGTTTGGACCAGTTCGGCTCGAACTCTAGGTCCATCTCGGCTGATCGGGCTGCGAGTCTCAAGAGTCCGGCGTCCGTCGCTCGCCAATGATTCTCTTAGTTTTCCTTAGTTTTATTTTGTTGTTGTAAAGACTATCTTACCCGCAGAGCTCGGGTTTTAACTTATCGATTCGTTTTGGTCGCCATTTTTAGGCGTTGTATTTGTTGCCGTCTAGTTCGGCAATTTCGGATATTTAATGAAATGAACATGGTTTTTCTTTATCTCGACTTTTACTTTGAATTTTCCTTTAATATTTCGTTACGAACTGTTTGGAGTTCGGTTTGTTTTGATTAAATTTGAAGTTCGTGATGTTATTGTGACGATGCGGTCGAACTCGGGAAACTCTCCGAAATTGAATCGCAGTCGGCGGATTGCTATTCGGAAGAGTGAGTGCGGATTGGGTTCCGGCTTTGGATAGTGGGCACCATGGGGGTGCGGGCGAGACGAATCTCGGCTTTTGAGATTGTATTCATGGGGAATACTTAGTTCGATCTCCTGGCCGGGGAGTCGGTATGTGGAGTTAGAGATAAGACGAAAAAGATGGATTTTTATTAGATTTGTAGCAGGACTCGAAATCAAGCTGCCTACGTACCCTTTTGCAAGGGATCAAGCCACTCGTAGTTCAGTTTACAGGTGTGAGTTCGGCACGAGCCGGACTGTTTTTTTTTTTTTTTTTTTTTTTTTTTTGAATCGCTGGTGGCGGTAAAATGGATGGTCCGAGCTCGCGGTAGTTGGGACTTAGTAGTAATATCGCTTGAGGTTGGCTGAGTTCCATGATCGCGGGATCGGCGTTCCGTCGAGTTGCATGAGTTCGTAAACTCCGGGCTTGACGATTCTCATTATCTGATAAGGACCTTCCCAGTTCGTTCCCAGCTTGCCGGCGTTTAACTCCTCGGTGTTGTGGAACACCTTGCGCAGAACGAGGTCGCCTTCATCGAAATGCCGACCTCGTACTTTCTTGTTGTAATAGCGAGCAGCGAGCTTTTGATAGTTCTGGATTCGGAGGAGAGCTAAGCATCGCTGTTCTTCCAAGTTATCGAGGTTGTTGAGCATCATCTGGTCGTTGAGGTCGGGGTTCTCGGGGAGCACGGAATATCTTAATGTTGGGATGCTGACTTCTGCCGGACAGAGTGCTTCAAGTCCGTATGCTAAAGAGAAGGGGGATTGTCCGGTCGATCGTCTGGGAGTAGTTCGATGCGACCATAAGACTCCGAGTTCGTCCGCCCAAGTGCCTTTCTTAGCCTCAAGACGCTTCTTTATGCCGTCCATAATGGTTTTGTTGGTTGCTTCGGCTTGACCGTTGCCTTGCGGATATCGCGGGGTCGAGAAACTGAGACGAATTTTGAACTTCGCGCACCAATCATTGAACGTCCCAGCAATGAATTTTGGTCTGTTGTCCGTGATGATCTCGTGCGGGACCCCGTGGCGGCAAATGATATACTTCCAAACAAATTTTTGTACGTCCAGTGCGGTGATCTCCGAGTACGCTTCGGCCTCAACCCATTTTGTGAAGTAGTCAGTCATAATCAAGATGTACTGTTTTTGACTTGTTGATCGGCATAAAGGGCCAACGATGTCCATAGCCCACCACATGAAAGGGTAAGGGGCCGTACTAGTTTGCAGCAGCTCGGTCGGCACGTTAATCATTGGACCATGGCGCTGGTACTTATCACACTTCATGACAAACTTCTCGCAGTCCGCGTTCATTGTCGGCCAAAAATAGCTGGCTTTTTTTATTTTCAGAGCAAGGGATCGACCTCCCGAGTGATTACCACCGGATCCTTCGTGGATTTCGCGCATGATCTCGACTATATCGTTCCCTGAGACGCAGGCCAAGAGTACTCCGGATGCGCTCCAACAATACAGTTTATCTTTATGCATTGTGTAGTGAGCAGCCCGGACTTTAAGATGACGAGCAGCCCATTTGTCTTCAGGGACTTTGCCATTGAGGAGGTATTCTCGCAGTTCGGCTGTCCAATCTTCGGCGGACTCGTTCCCCTGGTTTTCACTGGTTGATGGGCTATGAATTCCTTCAGTTATGTGCTCGAAGTCGTGATCGGCGGCTGGGTCCTCGAGAGTCTGTTCGGCATTATCCTCAAGAACCTGCTCGGCATTCTTGCGTTGCGTTTTTGACGAGGCCGGATTTTCGTTATAGTTCCGTCGTCGGGTGGCAAAATTGCATTTCAGCGCGGTCTTGATGCTTGGTTCTGGGATACTCTCGACCGGGATTTTTCTCTTCATATGCGGGTCGGAACTGGAAGCTAGGGCGGCTAACGCGTCGGCGGACGAGTTCTCGCCGCGAGGGATTTTGGTGAGTTCAAACGTCTCAAACTGCGAGATGAGTGCCTTAGTCGTTGTTAGGTACGCGTCCATTCGTTTGTTTTTGGTCGTGTATTCCCCGCTTAATTGACTCGCGACGAGCTGCGAGTCGCAGAAAGCGTGAAGATGTCGCACACCGAGCCTTTTAGCCAATCGTAGTCCGGCAAGTAGGGCTTCGTACTCAGATTCATTGTTTGATGCTGGGAATTCAAGGCGGAACGACTGTTCGAGGATCTCGCCGCTTGGAGACTTTAGGCGGATTCGGACACCTGATCCCCGGTGCGATGACGATCCATCGACATGTAGAATCCATAGCTCGGGGGGCTGCTGTTCGACAACGAACTCTTTTGGGAGCTCGATCAGGAAATCGGCGAGTACTTGGGATTTCGCGCTAGTTCGGTTCTTGTATTCTATATCGTTCTCGCTTAGCTCGACGGCCCATTTCGCGAGGTGACCTGATTGGCTTGGACTGTGTAGAATGGTTCGGAGCGGCTGGTCGGTTAAGACTGTGATTGAATGGGACTGAAAATATGGCCGAAGTTTCCGAGCAGAAGTCACCACTGCGAGCGCCAACTTTTCTAAAGTCGGGTATCTGGCTTCAGCGTCACTTAGCGATTTGGTGACATAGAATATGGGACGCTGTTCCCCCTATCTTCGCGGACTAGAACACTGCTAACCGCTAAAAGCGGAAATAGCGATATATAAGAACAGCATCTCGCCATTCTTGGGTTTAGCTAGGATGGGGGGAGTCGAGAGATACGTTTTCAGCTGCTTGAAAGCATCTTCGCATTCGGCACTCCAGGTATGATGCTTGTTACCTCGCAACAACTGGTAGAAAGGCAGACACTTATCCGTCGATCTGGAGATAAATCTGTTCAGAGCGGCGATTCGGCCTGTGAGTTTTTGCACTTCCCTTTTTTAAGTCGGGGAAGGTAGGTCTAGAACTGCGGATATCTGCTTTGGGTTAGCCTCGATGCCGCGCTCGGTGACGATGTAACCCAGGAACTCGCCCGCCGTTACGCCGAAGGTGCATTTGGCGGGGTTGAGTTTCATCCCGTACTCGTTCAAAATGTCGAAACACGTTGATAAGTGAGATACGTGGTCCTTAGCGTGCAGGGATTTAACCAGCATGTCATCAATGTATACTTCCATCGTTTTTCCGAGCTGACTGGCGAACATGCGGTTCACGAGTCTTTGATACGTGGCTTCCGCGTTCTTGAGACCGAACGGCATGACCTTATAGCAGTAGATTCCTCGATCTGTGATGAACGAAGTCTTTTCCCGATCATCCGGATGCATTAGGATTTGGTTATACCCCGAAAAGGCATCCATGAAAGATAACAGTTCGTTGCTGGCAGTTGCCTCTACCAACCGATCAATGTGCGGTAGTGGGAAACTATCTTTGGGACAAGCTTTGTTCAGGTCGGTGAAGTCGACGCAGATCCTCCACTTCCCATTCTTTTTCTTCACGACTACCGGGTTTGCTAGCCAGTCCGGGTATCGAACTTCCATGATCGAAATGGCTTTGAGCAATTTTTCGACCTCATCGTTGACCGCTCGCGCTTTCTCGGGTCCGAGCTTGCGCCTCTTTTGCTTGATATGTTTATATGTAGGATCGATGTTCAGCTCGTGGCAAGTGATGTCTGGACTGATTCCGGGCATGTCGCTGATATTCCATGCGAATGTGGAGACGTTCTTCTGGAGGAAGCTGACGAGTGCTTCTCGAATATTGTTGTCGAGTTCGGCCCCTATGCCGACACATTTTTCTGGATCTGTCGGATCAATGCAGACTTGGTCGACCTGGCTCTGTTTGGGTGGACCGAACTGGCTTACTGCGGCCGCACGATCTTCATGAAAGGGGCTGATGACGCATGTTCATGCGAGACTGAGCTTGCACTCGGTGAGATGACATAGTCGGGACGCGGTCTGGCTTCCTTTGAGGGTGAAAATTCCTGACGGGGTTGGGAACTTGACGCACTGATGGAACGTTGAAGCGACGGCTTTCATGTCGAACAGCCATGGCGTCCCAAAAATCGCATTGTATATTGCCGGTTTGTTGAGAACCAGGAATTTAATCATTCGGGCTGACCCGCCGACATAAATGGGTATCTTCACCGTTCCTACTGTCCTTGTTTTTTCTCCGGTTAACCCGGTCAATGATTCCATATAAGGCTTGATCTCGGAATCCGGAAAGTCCATATTCTTGAGTGTTTCCTTGAATATGACGTTTACCGAACTACCCATGTCGATTAATATCCTGCTTGCTTCAACGTCTCCGAGCTGAAGCTCCACGACGAGGCAATCGTTATGAGGCATATGTACTCCCCGCAGGTCGGCTTCGGTGAATAACAGTGGTATGGTTGTAACCGTTGTCTGGGGTTGCGAACTCGATGCTTGCCGGCTGTACTCTTTGAGGGCTCGAACAGAATAATTGCATGATTCGAGGGCTCCCATAATCATATTGACCTTCTTCCTAGTTTTAGGTACGTTCGTTTCTCTATTCGGTGCTTCGCGGTCTCGCTTAGGGGGAGCAACCTGTTCTTCATCAGAGTCGGCTGCCTTAGCAGTCTCTTGATTGCCGGATTTGTTTGGTCGTGGGTTCGGTCGCCGTGGTCTCGGTTTAGGCAGGTCTGCGGTGTCGATCTCGCCCTTGCGGAACTGTTGAAGTAAGAAGTCCCTCAGATGTCGGCATTTCTCCGTGCTATGCCCATATCGCTCGTGATATTCGCAAAAACGTTCGCTTAGCGGCGTATCGTCGTCTTTATGCCATGTGTTCCAAGATTTCGGCGGCCGTCCTGACTTTTGATTTGACGGTCCCGCCTGGTTCACTACTCCATGCGGTTTGCCGGACTGGACTTTTGTTTCCGAATTATCCTTTGCGGTCAAGGTCTGGCCGGGCTTTGACGCTGAATACTGCCGATCTTTGGCGGCCTCTTCTTCTTCTTCCGCGATGAAGATGTTTGACTTGTGGAGCGCGTCCTCAAGGGTGAGGGGTCTGTTCCTGCGAAGCTCTTTATGAAAAGGTGATTTGTACCATGTTTTCTGGTATAAGGCTTCGAGGGCGGCCTCGTCGTCCACCGTGCAGTGCGCCACGATTTGCTTGAAACGTGCCATGAAGTCTCGGAGTGATTCGTTTCCATCGAGAAATGCTTTGCGAACTTAGTCGAAAGCTCCTTGTAGTTATCAATGGAGTCGGCTTCCAATCTTGAGAACCAATCCAAAGCTATGCCTTCGAGGTGCTCGACGAACAGTTGGCATTGAATCGCGTCTTTCTGCTCGGCCGAGGTGAACTTCAATCGGTTGATCACGATGCCGAACGAGGTAAGGAAATGTCTCGGGTCTGAGTTCCCTTCATCGAACGCAGTTTAAACTTTTCCAGGTTAGGGACGGGGACGTTGGTGATCCGGGAAGTGAACGGTGTTTTCTGTGCTTCCTAGATTACGCGGTCGATCTCAGGTGCCGAACTGGTGGCTTGGTGAAATTTGGAACTGATCTCTCGCAGTTGGGCCTGCATCCGTTTGATTTCCAGGTCGCGCGCTGTTGGTTGAGCTCGTATGTGCTGGGACGGGCTCTCAAACTGTTGCTGTTGCTGTATTACCGATCGCGCCGCCGTGCACTGCGGGTCTCGCTCTCCTTGGAAATCGCTGATGAGGTTTCGTCGTCGAAGCGGACTTTCCTGTTGCAGGCTAGAGATCTGCGCGGTGAGAGTCGCGAATTTGGCATCATTGCTGCGGACTAGCTCCTGCATCTGAGCAGCGAAGGCGTTCATGAGTGCAGTTGGATCGAAGGCAGCTGGTGAAGCCTGGTGAGTGCTTGAGCTCGGCTCTGCTCTAATCTCTTGCGTTCCAGTTTGAGGTCGCACGGGACTACGGTCGTCTTCTCCTATGTGTCCTCCGAACTGGACGGGGCTGTCTGCACATGTCATTTGACTCCCGACCTGGACTGAGGTCGGTTGTCCGCCGTCTGCACGGGTCGTCGGACTCCCGACCTGGATTGAGGTCGTTTGTCCACCATCGGTCGTCATGTCTTCGAGGTCGATTACCGAATCGGCCCCACGGTGGTCGCCAATTGTTGATTGTGGTTCTCAACTATTCAAGGGTCGGTTCGGTAATTCGAGTTCGGAGAAGATTAAGTTGATTAAATTTTATTAAGTTCTCAATTACAGTTCGTTCAGTTCGGAGGTCTCTCGACGAACTCAATAAAATATTCAGGTCTCTATTCTCCGGGTCCAAAAAGATCCCTTCTACAGTAACAATTATACTATTTATAGTACATAAGCGAGGAGATGTTCTAGGGCTTCTCGTTCAGCTCTCACCGCCTCTTGTTGCTGGGCTTCTTTCTCATGGGCCGCGCTGTCAGGTCAGACCCATTTCGGCTAAGACCATCGTAAACCGGGGTCGATTGGGCCGGTCTCGGTCTTTAACCGGTCCGAACCGGGGAGCGGAGCGTACCACCAACAGCGAGGGGTGGCTCCAGCAACCCAGAAAGGGCGGGTCAGTACCCAGTTTGTCCTGGGCTGACCCGGCCCACACTCTTTTATATAAATAGTTTTTAGAGACTAAAACCCTAGTTATCCATTATCTTATCCTCTAATCTGCTTTCTTTTTGTTTTCTCTCTACTTCTTAGTGTAAAAACGAGTTTGATCAAGAGATATCTAGCAGATTTAATCATCTTAAGGCTGTTTCTTATTATCTGATCATCTCATCTCTGCTTCTAATCATGATTAACACCACCTCTTGCAAAGGAAATGGTGTGTTAATCATGATTAGTGAGTAATCATCTTTTAAGCTTCTAGGTGTGTAGATTAGGGTGCTTAGATGATCGGTTTATGATGTTTAGGTTCTAGATTCTCATTTCCTTTCCTTAGTTAGCTGCTCTTAATGTTAGATCTTTGCACATCACTCTGATCTAGACCTTAGACATTTCTCCACCCACAAGGTGTTTGATGAAATGTCTGAATGAGCTAAGCTAAGGGTTTATGCCTTTTTCATCATGGGAATGATTTGTTAAATGCATGAATGACATATTAGAACTGTTTCTTAATGCTCACTGATTCATATTTCACAAATGATGATTTGGTTTGAAAGTGGATTAGTGTAGAGATTAATGCCTTCATGAGAGGATTAGTTTATATTTGAGTTCCAAGTTAATTGGTTTTGAGATCATGTGATTGCTTGTTGCTGCTTTCTGTGTAAGATTCGGTCTCTTTGAAATAGAAACCGTTTGGTCATTATTAGACTTGATACTTTATGCTTGTTGATTGCTTGATCTTGCTTAAGGTGAAGTAATCTTGATTAAGTGATTTACAAAGAGATTATTGTCATGAGAGTGAATTAATCTGCTTTTGAAGTCTAGACTAAAGAGTAACTTGCATTGCATTATTGTTCTTAGCATCATGAATAAATCTCTAAAGCACCCTAATCAATGATCACATCTAGAGGTTTAGCTTTCATCATCTTTATTATCATCATCGTCTTGTTTAGCTTGCTTTCTTTACTTCTTTATCATTGCTTGTTTGTTCCTTGTTTATGTTTTCACTTGTTACTTGTCACCAAACCTGTCTTTTATTAGCTTGACTTAAGAACTTATCATATAAACTAGTGCCTAACTACCACACATTTGGATTGACACCCCTTATACTACTTTGACAAGGGGATTGATAACCCTTCTAAGAGCTTCAAAACTCTTAGTTATCATATAACGATTAAACTTTAATGATTTTATATAAAAGTGCATGATAACATAGGTAAGTCAACATAATGATAGTAAAAAAAACGATAGAAAGCCTACATCAAGGTAATTTTAAGTATACAAATCGTTCTTGCTAAGATTCAACACTTTACAATGCTACCATAGATAAGAGAATTGTAGAGAGTCCAAAACAATATATTTTCTTGAACCACCGCTGCTAACAGGAAGAAGCTGTCTTAAATCACTTCCAAACACAATTACTTTACCACTAAATGGTTTATCTTAATGTCTACTAATAATATCATACAAAATTCAGTCCAAACTCTCAAAACAATATCTACTCACTATAAGGGCTTTGTCCCAGATTATTAGTGATGCCTCAGCCAATAATTCAGCTAAGTCTGTTCCTGGTACAATATTGTAAGTAAACCATTCATCAGGATTAATAGGAATTTCAAATCAGGAATGCGTTGTTCTTCCACTAGGCAGTAAGAGGGCAGCAATTCCAGTACTTGCAGCAGATAGTATTTTCCACAAATTAGTTATTCCTATTCCTCCAAAACCATGCACGAAAAAACCCTACCTTGATCTTTAGAAACAGCATCCATTATCTCTGTAGAGACTCCCCCTTCGTTCATTTGTTAATCCTGGTAACATTTTCTGCTCCATTGCTCTCATTTCATCTCTGTTGTAATTACGCTTGTTAAAAAGCATTCTGCTTGCAGAGGCATTGTGATAGTTTGCTGAGGGAACAGGCATTCCATCAAAATGAGAGACTGAACTTCCATTGCTCCGTACAATTGACTCTATTGCATCCAGAGTAAAAAAATTAAGTTGTTCTTCTGTCAGAGTCAAATATGTAAAACAGATAAAAACTCATTGCTTAAGAACAATAATATATTAACAGTCCTTAAGTAAAACATATTGTTATATTATTCAAAAGATACCTGGATTAAAGAAGCTCCCATGTCTCTTCTAAAACTGCAAAAGGAATAATTATACTATTAGTAGTAAGTATTATAGCAAACAACTTCCTAAGATAACATCTTGATCCCCAAATGCTAGCTTCTTTTATTCATTCTATGTATTCAGCATCATCATCATTTAAATTTGACAATTTATCAATAATAATCATCATAGTAACGATATTAATTCTTTTAAAAATAACTTTCATTTGATGTATGATTTACAAGAATGCCATGCTGATGTGTCATCATAAGAGAGCTTCTCAAAACACATATAAAAAATGCTTACTTTACTAGAGTAATTACATCATATGCCATTAGCATTAATTTGGTTAGAGAATAGTTCATATATTTTATATATTTAATATTCAACATTTAATTTGTAAACATATCTTTCTCTTTCTATTTCTTAATAACATATTTATAAAAATTTAATACATAATATTACTTATATTATTAAACATTATATTTTTTATATCATTTTTCTTTGATCTTAATTTTGTTAAAAAAATAATCACATTATCCATTTAATCTAAAATTTTATGCATATTATAATTCAATTTTTAATATTAAAAACAAAATATTTTAGTCTTATGTTGAACCGCTTAGATAGAACGTATTAATCCAATTTAGTATATTCAAATGTGTAGTTTTATTCATATAAAATACTATTAAACTTAATTATAAAAATACTAATAAAATTAATTATAAAATACTATTAAAATTAATTATAAAACCAATAATGATCTAGCATTATGTAATTTTATTACAAAATAAATGTAATTATAACCATTATTTGTAACTGTATAATCTAGGGGTGGGAAAAAAACCGAACCGAATCAATCCAACTGAACCAACCGAACTTAAACCAAACTGAACCAATCCATTTTCAAAATATAATATGTTTGGTTGAATTTTTTTACAACCCAACGGTTTGGTTTGGTTTGGTTTTCAACCGAACCAAATCAGTAAACCAATATACTTATTTTATTTAGTTTATTAGTTAATTCATAATATTAGTTTTTTGAAATATGGTGAAATGTAAAATTTGACCTAAACCAACACACAATTTTTTTTTTCAAATTGATTTTTTAAAACCGAATTAAAACCAAACCGAACTAACCAAACCGAACTAAATCAAACCAAATTCAAACTGAAGTCAACTTATTTCGAATGAGTTTGGTTAGAATTTTATTGATCCCAAAATAACCAAACCGACCGAACTCAAACCGAACCCAAAATAAACTAAAGTGCCCACCCTAATCAACACATAAATTTACAATTATAAATATTAGTCAATATTTTTTAGTTGTATTATTATATATTGTATCAAATAAAAAATTTTTAATTAATATTTATTCAGTAGAGAGATGCGGGTAATCACCTAGTATATAAAATATTTTAGTGTCCCTGTTTGTTTCCTAGGGTTTTCAGCTAACTATAACGCAGCTTATTTAAATATTTCAAAAGATTTAGTGATTTTAAAAGATTTCTAATCATAATAAAATTTGTTATAGATAAAGATTGCTGATATAACCAATCGTCCACACAATTATAGTCTTTCGAATCTTCTATTATTATTTGAGAAGGACACTTAAAAAATAACATTTATATCATGTGTTATTAACAACTTTGCCATGTTGATGTGTCAATCTCAGAGAGTTTCTCAATGATTTTTTGAAATTAGACTCAACTTACTAGATTAATTACATTATATGCCATTAATATTAATTTGGTTAAAGATTAGTTTATATAAAATATGTATTTAATACTCAAACATTTAATTTATAAAGATATTATTTCTCTCTTTCTGATTCTTATCAACATATTTATAAAAATTTAATACATAATATTACTTATGTTACTAAAAATTATTTTCTTATCTCATCTTTCTTTAATCTTAATTGTTAAAAAATAATCATATTATCTATTTAATAATAATCATATCTAAATTTTTATTCATATTTTAATTCATATTTTTTTTTATATCAAAGCAAAGTATCTTAGTCTGATGTTAGACCGGTTAGATAGAATGTATTAATCTAATTTAGTATATATCTAATGTGTAATTTTATTCATATAAAAAATACTACTAAAATTAATTATAAAATCAATGATTATCTAAGATTTATGCAATTGTATTACATAATAAATATAACTTTGATTATTATTTATAATTGTATAATCATCATATATTTACAATTATAAATATCAACTAACATTTTAATAGCTGTATTTATATATATTATATTTGCATATTCGAATAAAAGAATTAGGGTTAATATTTACTCCGCACATGGTGCGAATAATCAACTAGTATACAGGGTATAATATGGCAATATCATAACTAAACTTCCAATTTTTCAGGATAAATCTAATATAAAGATATAAATTTCTTAAAAATGTTATCAATTGTTTTATATGTAATACTTTCATATATACTAACATTACAAAGATAATATTTTATATATTCAAAAGAATATAATGTTTTTAAAACCGGACCAGTGACCGAACCGGAAAAAATTTGGGGTCATGGGTTAATATGGTTTAACTGAATTCAACGAGGTTCAACCGGTTTGATGATATTTTACAACCTCTAATTAATTAAATATTAAATAAAATTCTTTAATATTTAAGAAAACATTCATAAAATAAATCCAAAACAACACCAAAATAAAATGGAGTAGCATTAGCAATAATTGTAAAAAAACCTCAATAATCTAAATAAAAAACAGCACCAAAATAAAATAGAGTAGCACATTCAATTTTCCTTGTCCAAATCTTCATCACCTTGAACAAACAAAAATGCAAAATACATATTAATCAAATGTTTTAAATTTTGAATTATAGAATGAAAAAATAATTAAAAAAATAAACTATTCACCATCTTTAGAATATTCTTCAAGAAGTTTATCTTCTAACTCAGAATAATCAAGCTCCCCTTCTTCTTCTTCTTCTTCTTCCACAATCCAAAACTCAGTTTTATCGATAGACTCGAAATCAACTGGATCATATGATCTACTTCTCTTTGATCTACACATAAAGACAAGAAACTATATATTAACAAATATGCATTTAAAAAAAAATCAATCACACTCTACAAATAAAAAACCTGTTTTGTAGACGTAAATTATAATGAACATAGACAAGATCATTGAGCCTTTGATGCTCCAGCCTATTTCTCTTTTTGGTGTGAATGCGTTCAAACACACTCCAGTTCCTCTCACATCGAGATGAAGAAGCTGTTTGACTAAGAATTCGGACTGCGAGCTTTTGCAAATCAGGAATATCACAACCAAATAATTTCCACCATTCATCTACAAATACAACAAGAAAAAAAATCTTCCATGTAATTAAACATCTTAAAAGTTAGAGAAAAACATAATATATTAACATAACATAACATCACTAACCTGGTCGAGTAGTTTTGCTACAAGTAAGTGCCAACTCCTGAGAAAACCTCTTTCTCAATCTCTATAGCGGCCAATAGTAGATACTAGTTTTGTTTTACTTAAACCACCATTCTGCTTTTCAATCAAATTTAGCATTCCACTTGTAATCTCAGGCTTGTCACTAAAGTTCTTTGTATCGTACAAGAAAGCTGAATTCAGAAAGTAAGCGGCAGCATAAATATCACGACGTAACATCTTATCCCACCTATTGTTAATGATCCTTGTATAAGGCCTGTAAAGATCTTTTTTTTATCGAATATCTTCTTGATACCAAACCGTACCCTATACATCCCTTCATATACATAAGTCAAAGATGGTTCTCTCATCAGAATCACAAATACGCAGCAAATGTGCACAATCATAAAACACCCATTCCAAAAGTCTTCATCAAAATAAGTTGTTTCACACGCTTTGGTTTCTCTGATCTCGATATTTTTCTGAACTCCTGATCAACCACCATACTCTGCAACTCATCCTTATGAGTATACAAACTCTGCAATGCTATGAAATTTGTAGCAAAACGAGTGTCTGCAGGACGAATTATCTCTCTCCACCCTGGTCTGTTTCTTAACCAATTCAAGATATGCTTATGGTTATACGCAAACACAGTTATCTTTGATGCAGAACTGGTTAGCTTCTCCACCTGAGGTAGTTCTGTCATATCTTGAAATATCAAATTAATACAGTGGGCTGCACATGGCGACCAATACATGGCAGGATATCTTTCTACAAGCTTAGCACCAGCAGCTTTGTAGTTAGGTGCACTATCTGTCACCATATGGACCACATTTTGGGGGCCAATAATCTCCACAACGTCAGCAAATAGGTTACAAAAATTCTCTGCATTGGTATATATTCCAGAAGAATCGACTGATTTGATGAAAGTTATCCCTTTAGGACAGTAGACCAGAAAATTGATTAATGGTCTTTGCCTTGTATCTTTCCATCCATCAGCCATCAAAGTACAACCAGTATCAGCCCATGTACTCCTAACAGAGTCAATAATTGATGAAACTTGCAGTTTAGCATCACGTAGTAAACGAACACGTAAATCATGATATGAAGGTCCAATGTAACCATGACCCATGCTTGCAATTTTGCTGATCATAGGCTGATAAAACCTAGAATTCACTGCATTCATGGGCATACACACGTCATAGAAAAACAAAGCAACTACCATATCAGCATCATGAATCTTTTCCTTGCTTTGCAGACATGACTTTATGGTAGGTTGCACCTGATCTTCTAAACCCCTTTTAAAGTATGAGTTTATATCGGTACTACCATTTCTTTTCCGACTCAGAGGCACAGAACCTTGATGAGAAGCTTGACCATCATCTACATCATGAAATTTTCTCATAACATTAACCCCCCTTTTCTCTTTTGCTCTATCCTCGTTTTCTTTGAGTGACTTTCTCATTGCGTATTGAACTTCTGAAGGAACCTTCTTGCATGCATTGGTACTTCCTTTCTGTCCAACTACATGTTGTTTCATTCTATTGATTCCACCTCCCTGGTTTTTCTTACCACAAAAGTCACAAGTAAAACTACATTTTCCAAGTGAATATACAGTTTGAGTGACATATGCCCAAGCCGCATCATATTTTTGACGAACAGAATGTTGTGAAGGCAATTGAGATTCTGTGTATGTATCTGATGGAAGTGTCGCATCTGAATCATTCTCTTCCATTATTGAATTCACTACAAACAAAATAAAAACCAAACAAAAATAAAGCAATTAAAAATTTGATTACGTCAAAGCACACCAAGTGGTAGTTTATATAATAGATACTAAAAGTCTTAAACTAACTAAACTCAAGAAACTACTCAATAATTTAATGGTTGTAAAACGTAGTCATGATCGTTCTAGGCTTTGATCGAAAGTTTGAAACACTTTACCTTGGTTTTGAACTGTAAACGTAGTAAGGCGGTGGTGAGTTGCAGAGAGAAAGGCAGAAAGTTGTAAACTTAGAAACCCTAAATATCAAATAACGAAGGTAGAAAGACATAAAAAAAAACGATTTAAGCTTTTTTCTTTGAACCGGTTTTATGAGGTTTGATGGTTCGGCCGGTTTCTGGTTTAATCTGGTTTTTAACCGGTCTAACTTTATGTGGGTTTTAGTACTAACCCAACCCGGTTTTACCTCCGGTTCACGGTTTAACCTGGTCAGACCGCCGGTCCGGTCCGGATTTAAAAAAATTTATGATTTCATATAATAATTAATTAAAATAGTACTTTCTAACTTATGAAAATGGTTGACATTTTAGTTAGGTCACCATAATTTATTATATAAATGTTGAGTTGTGTCTCACAATCTTGACACATCAGCATCTACTATTTTGACACATCAGCTTGAAAATTAATTTTTCCAATTACATTTGATAAAAAAATTAATGCAAAAAGCTATGCATTTTTATTGATATTGGCATCCTGCCTCTTCGGCTCCTTCGTATTTATTAGGTCATATTTGTATTTAACTTCTCATCTTAACGAAACTTCATCTTCTACATTTCATCTGTCTGTTGTACTCGAATCTTTTAAGCTTCTTTTTATTCACTCTCAGTTTCATGTTTTTATCTTCTTTCTACTATATGAAGGCTACTGATTCCAAATTGTAGACAATAACCCATTTGATAGTTTAACTAATTTACTATTTTCTTTTGATTATCTCGGTATATTGTTAGGTTAGCAAATGCATAGACAATAACCCATTTGTTAGGTTTACATTCTCTATCTTACAAATGCATAAATAATTATTTGTTTTTTTGCTGTTCACTTCATATAAAAATGCAGACTCATGATCTCAAAGCTGCGTTTATGACCCCAATTCAATAACACCACTATCCTTTTTACCCGTAAGGGAATTGAGTATCGACTCTCAAATAGACCTAGATTCCTGACCATCTTTGGATATGGAGGCTCTCACAAAAAGTGAATTGCTCTCTTCTGTATTTTTCTTTTCCTCAAAAATATGCTATTTGTTTCCCATATATTAAGCTACAAGCAGCCATGAATTGAAGTACTAGATTGCATATGTTTATGCTACGTTTTATACCCTTTGGAATTGAGTTTACTTTGTTACATGAGATAAACCAACAAACCATGTCCCTTCTTCTACTTCACTTTCATTTGAAGTAAATATTATGTATGTTAATATGTTTTGGATATCTGGTGAAGATTAAGTACTAACTATGTGTTAAAATGGCTCTCTGGTATTTTTTCTCTCTTTTCTATTTTATTAATGTTAATTTCTATTAGTATATGGCAGTTGCTCACTTTTTTTTTTTATTTAAATGTAAAATTTATTCAAAATAAAAAAGCTATCTTTACATCTGAGTGCAACTCTAAATTAAGTTTTTTTTTTAATAAACAAAATATTTTTCTTTGTTATTCATTTGCTCCACATTTTTTCTAATGTCTTCTATATTTTTTTAGGGGGAAAAAAGTAAACTATTGTTGCTATAAATTTTGTTATCTTCTAATCTGAAATAAAAATTCCAAAGATTAAATTAAATGTGAATGAGACTGGATGAATTTGATGAGGTAGAAACTAATGAGACAAAGATTCAGCTAAATTTGGGTATGTGTATTGGTATGTTCCAGGTCAGATATGAAAGACTCAGGCTATTGTAGGTATGTGTGTATTAGCAATCATGTGGTGGACGAATGAAGGAAATTATGCTATGGTAGGGTGCATGTGTATCTCCAATCAACCACCTCCTTGCCATGATGAATTGCAAACCTAAAATAGCTCTCAATTGTATGAAACATCCGAACTTCATTAGCATTGGGTTAGAGACAGATGTAAAGGAAATTATCTAGACAAGAGAAACACAAAAAAGAGGAAAAAGCACCAGTAAGATATTTAACACTCATTCATCATCATCTGAGATATATTATCTATGAATGATGATAAATCAGAAAAGAAATTTTATGAGCTATGAAGATATTCAAACCGTTATAGGCGTTAAACATTAAATTTTATAATATGCAATGGGACTCTTTGATGCTGAAAAAGAATGTTATGAATCAATTGGCACATTTAAACATGGTGGTAACACATGGTGAATGGCTTTGAGGTTTGGGGGAGACGAATGCACAACCTGCCAAAAAAAAGGCAAAGAGATTAGGAGGGATGAAAGTCAAACAACTTTACTTATGAAAGACTCATCACAATATCCCTATTATAAGATCATTGTCATATTTTATGTTTATTTGTTTAATAAAAAATTGGAAAATAAAAATTAATTATACAGTATTAAAACAAATTCATCGAATACTCAATCTTCTATGTTGTATTTGTTAGGATATTTTTCCTACAAATCAAATAGTAACTCCTACAGACGTAATAACAAATATATATCATTTTTTACTAAATATAAGTTAGAAAATATATATAATATACAAACCTGCGAGTACATCAAGATAATGATAAGTAATACAAATGGTTCTGGAAATAAAATACATGTTCAGACTATAGGATTAGTAAAAATAACAAAGGTAAATGAAGACAATCTTCCAACCTACAAAATATACGAAAAAACGCAGTTGATATAGTTAGATAAAACATTCATTGACTTTGTTAAAAATGAAACTAATTAATAAATAATATGACCAAAGACAAAATATATATATATATATATATATACATTATGTAGGTATACCTGCTAAATCTTTCTATTTATGTTCTGGGATACTTCTTTGAATACAACATTCATTGTTTGATTCTGTGGTTTACCTTCTTTATTAACAATAAGAACCTTTAACCCTTACTTAGGCTCCAATTGGTGACTATTAAAGCAATAATAAGAATGAATAGGAAAAAAATGAAGAGGAATTAAATAATGGGAATGTCTTTTCCTTATTGTTCCTTATCAAATTTGGTGAGGAATATTTTTGTTCTATAATTCTTTAAAAATGAAGGAATGACAAAGAATAGTATGTAAAAAATATTTTTCATAAATGGTGTATTTTTTTTGAATGAAGAGGAATGTGTAAAAATAAATTCCATAAAAATGATGGATTTTTGAGGAATGAAGAGGAATTTCATTATTCCTTCCAATACCTTGGTTACCAAGTAAAGGAATGACATCGTAAATACCTTAGTCTTCACTCTTGATAAGGCAACATATAGCTGATCATGAGAGAATACAGGTGTAGGCAGATAGAGTCCAACACTTGAAAGAGTTTGTCTATTGTCATTGCAAACGACACCATCAAAAGGAATTGTCTTCTTTGCATTTTGAAAGGAATTTTACCTTCAGGTGGTGAGATAGACAACTTGGGAATACAAACCTTCTGGCCATGTATTTCACCGGTTAAAATCATAACTTCAATAACATGGTCAGCATGAGTTGCTTGCAATCTAGTATTATTACGTAGACCTCCTTTTGGATCAATATTTTTCAGTAGCATTACCGGTGCTCTTACTTTTAGTTTAATAGAATAGTTAGGCAGCCCAGATAATCTTATATTGTTAAAAAAATCTGGAGTATCAACACTACTATTGTGGTTGGAAGTATATGATGGATCAATAGAATCTGAGCTAAGGTAGTGATGTAGCGTCATCTACTTTATCTTTTACGTGTTTTACAAGTTTTCGACTTAATGGTTATCTGCGGGTTTTAAACTATTTCCTTTTCCTTATTGAACTTCTATTTATTGATTAGGGCTTTAGTTTTGGATTAAGGTCGGCTTAGACCACCTCTATATAAGGTTTTGTAATCCTTCGGGAATAGTTAGTTGTTTTATCGAATAATAAAGAGTTTTCTCTTGATTGAAGTCTTTGAATTCTCCTTGTCTAACAAAGATTTTTGAGCATCAAACAGATCCTCTTGATCCATAGATCCTCGAGACTCTGTTTTGATATTTATCCGCTGCAACAGTTGGTATCAGAGACAAACAGATCCTAATCATGCCGCCAAAGAAGAATCTTCAACTGCAATTGGACGAACAAAACGAGGCTTTTCGCGAAACCCTAGCCGAGTTCAGCGACAATCTTCGGGAATCTCTGCGGGTTACGATGGAAGCAGCTCTTCGCACGGCTCTTCAACCGCCAAATGCCGCACAACGTGTTCCTCGGCGTGAAGAACCTATCTTTGAGGATGATGAAGAAGAAGATGTTAACGTCTTTGCAAATCAATTTGGTCAGCACGGTGACGTGAATCCGCATGGCGTTAACCACCAGCGCGAGGTTATCGCAGCTCCACCAGGTGATCATCGACGATGGGAAGCTGGTTTTAAGCTCGATTTACCAGAATTCAGTGGTGGCATCCAACCAGAAGAATTTCTCGACTGGATTAATACAACCGAGGAATTACTGGAGTTTAAAGAAGTGCGTGATCCGATGCGTGTGCCTCTGGTAGCAACACGTTTTCGTTGGCGTGCTTCTGCTTGGTGGCAGCAATTAAAAGCGTCAAGGGCTAGAGAAGGGAAAGACCGCATTACGTCTTGGGCGAAATTGACAAAGTTGATGCGAAAAGCTTTTCTTCCTTTTAATTACACTCGTACTATGTACACGAAGCTCCAGAATCTGCGACAAGGAAGCCGTTCTGTTGACGACTATGCGTCTGAATTCTTTTCTCTCTTGGCTCGTAATGTACTTCATGAAAACGAGGAACAAAGGGTCTCGTGTTTTATTGGTGGCTTACTGGTCCAATTCAAAGTGCATTACTTCAGTTTGATCCATT